TGCTGCTACTTAAGGTTGTCTTCATAGTCATGTTGACAGAGTTCCAACGTCAATCTTCTGTAGCAAGAAATAGATTCTATCAAAAATAAAGTTCTTTGCTGATAAATTAAACCAGATTTTCAAGAGGTTTTGGCAAAATATATATGAGGACTTTCATACATCACTGTTACATTAGCTAGAAGGTGTGATATTTTTTTCTCTCATGCTCTTAAGTGGCAGAGCTGGGCTAGCAAAAATTCAAATATAGACCAAGCTTAAGCATGCAAGTTGTGTTTTACCATTACTCCTCAAGCTGTGAGTATGGCACATTCAAGATCACTTCACTTCCACAAGCAGCAGATGAAATGAAACATCCATTAACTTTTCATGCACAGAAAGGGTAATAGTGGCTGCAGAAAGGAGCTGACAATTTATTTGAATACCAGTCATTGCAGCATGGTTACAGCAGTGTTAGGGCCGTACTGCAGCCAGCAGTCTTTAGAGTGGGAATTTTGCCTCTCTGTATGCATCAAGGTTTGTGAAATGCATCAAGAAATGATCTCATGACAGTTTCTAGAGTCAAGTCCTCAAGCAGGGAATGTCTTTCCCCCGAGCTATCACTGCTCCTCTTCTGGAGCTGTGGCTTACATGAGCTATGCTCTCCCATTTGCTAATTGGAACTGGTTAGATTCTTAATCCTGAATGCCCATCGCATTTTTCCTTTGTTTTTGAAGGTCACCACTCAAGAAGATACTGTCATGTATTTGAATTCAACCAGGTGATTATTATTATATTTTGGTATAAATAATAATACTTTCCATCCTAAAAGTGAGCCTTATACTTTATTGCTGTATCATATTCCATACTGATGTCTGATACATGGGGTAAATATGCTTCTGGTGGAGTCAGAAACTTAATCTTAATTGCGTAGCACTCTTAGTATGAGTTACTTGTGTTGTCTCAAGTCAAGGAAAGCCCATTCTGAGTGCTTCTAGAGCGTTCTCCAGACTGCAGGGTCTGCTTATAAGAATTTTCTATTACTCTCCTTCATCTGCCCTTGCAACTGCCCGAGTTTTCCCATGCCCCTCTCTACACCCCAGGAGTTGCTCTCCCTGCAAGTTTGCCATCCTCCCCTCCTTCAAAATTCCTTCTTAGCTCACGCTGCTTCTGGGAAGCTCATGTGCTCTGACCCATCCTTGAAGGGAAAAAAAATGAGGGAAGGGAAAGGACACAAAGCAAAGCTATGTATGGTGTGATCACTGGAAGTCCTGGGGCTTTTTGCCTCTGCTGTGATGCTTGTCTCCCTTTGCTGAAAGACGCTCTGGGCAGGGACTCAGTCTCCATCCCAGCAGGCAGGCTCACAATGACAGGAATCCAAATTCTAGATGGCATCCTGTCTCTGGAGGGACTCCCAAGGCTTTCAGTTCATTGCCAAATTCACTGCAGCCTTAACCCCTGACGAAGGAGCTCATTGCAGGCAAGCACCAAGAGAAGGCGCAGAGCAATCCAGCTTTAAACAGTCATGCTATTATAGCAGTTGCTCTGCATCATTTCAAATAAAATGTACTTTAAAAATAAGTAAGTATTAACAAAAAAAAAAAAAAAAGGCTTCAGTGACTTGTTAAAGAAAGATGAACTAAACTTTGGATATTAGGAAAAAGGTTTTTACAACAAAGGTAGTGAGGCACTGGCACAGGTTTCCCAGAGAGGTGGTAAATGCCCCATCCCATTCAAAGTTAGACTTGGAGGGACTCTGAGCACCTGATGGAGCTGTAGGTGTCCCTGTTCACTGCAGGGAGTTGGACTGGATGACATTTAGGTCTCCCTTCCAACTCAAACAATTTTATGATTCTAAATATCATGAAAAGGCAAAATAAGTTTGCACTCAAATTCAACTTATGGAGATATTAACCAGTCAAAGGGAAAAGTTACACGAACAGATCCCCACTTGGTCTCTGTTACAGGAACTTGAGCAGCAGGGAGGTCTGCAGGCTGCCTCATGATGGGGAGCTGTGGATGGCCTTGGCCAAGAGTCTCTGCTGCTGTTGGGCATTGGTTGTACGTGGACTGTGCTGGGCAGTTAGGGTGCAAACACTTCCCAGCTAGGACTGTCACCATGCATTCACAAGGTGCCAAGCAAGAAGGCCCTGAGTTATTTTGGTTCTGGTCACGCAATAGGAAAAACTAATGATGTCCTGAGTTAATGCATGAAGATTGGGTGTTACAGGTGATGTGAAAAGAGAATATAGCTAGGAGGCCCTACATGTATATTTTTTGCATCTGCAAGAAGCCCTGGGCTGCAGCTGAAAAACAGCCACTTGTGTTAAAAAGAAAAAAAAAAACTATATAGCTATTTTTATGGCACAGAGTTGTTTTGGACAGGATATGAAGAATATTAAATCTGATTGAAAATATAACAACAGCCGAGGTGGGAAGGATGCAATTATTCAAATTGTAGCTTGGCCAGGATGCCACAAATACCTAGGATAAAGTGCCACCAGGCTGTCGATTCCCTTCAGTGTCCAGGACACGGATCCAGCAGCCCATCCAGAGATGGCACCTCCTCCACTGAAGGAGTGCAATATACTTTCCATTTCACTTAACAGTCTCCTTCTCCAAAGTTGCCTAAGCCCCAACTTATTACCTTGCAATAGCTCCCCAAAACTGTGTGGCTGGAGGAATAGATGACATCCTTAAATTCACATGATACGTATGAGTTCTAAAGCCTCTTTTTTTCCATGGGATGGGAACATATAGTCTTTGCACAGCTAGTTCTCACTGGATTCTGCTCCTGGTGGTGCTATTCACTGGCTCTCCCTGAGAGAGAAAGGGTTTGCAAGAGTAAGCTGACAAACCCATCTCTGAGTAAAAGAAATCTTTTTTCCTTTTTCACTAGAAGCAATTCATGGTTCTATATCTGAAAGCTGCTTTTTATTGAATATATAATTACTACAATCCAGAAATGGCCTCCAAAGTGCCACAGAGTTGCATTTAAAATATATGTTAATCTTTACATCACATACGGCCTTCTTGTTTCCTGCGTTTACAATTCCTTCCACTCATAAGAACTGTTTTTTATTTACACCTCTGTGAAAACAGAATCAATTCCTCCGTACGCACTGTTGCATATTCTTTGGAGAGAATGTATTGATTGAAAAGCATTCTACCAGTCTTATTAATCTCAAGCAGTATTGACTATGTACAGTTGTATGTACCAGTTGTACATGTGGAAAACTCACAAAATAACAATATCAATAATATTCTTTAACAGAAACAATCATTTTATAAATAATGAATGTGCTATATTGAATTCTACTGATATTTGGGGCACTTTTTTACTTTTACAGGCTCTGTGTCCAACTTTGTTGACACCAATATAAATAAAAAATAAATGTGTTGCATTCAATGCAGTTACATTCGTGCTAGAGCCAATATATGAGAGTCTTAGAGCAGTCGTTTGTCAAATGAGAAAGTAGGACATAGCATAAGTACCATCTGTGGAGGGTGATTCATAAGACAAGAATGCAGCATAATCAGTTAAATAAATACTACCCTTGTGCTTTGTACTCTAAATGGACCTTACTCCAGCACAAATCATAATGCAAGGTCAAAGCAATTGCAGTGGTGTGTAGAATTTGCTATTCTGATTCTTAGAACTATGAGGAATTAACTCGCTTTAAGCTGGAGCAAAGCCAGAGGCATGCATCTATTCTTCTCCACATTCAACAGGAGCTTAATTTTTGCCTGGAGGGACATAGAGCAGGTCTTAACAAATCAGCTGAACTCAAGCTGTGAGTTTTTGAGACAAGACATCAGCCAGCTGTGCCTTGGTCATGCTGGGTCAACACATGGCTGTAGTGGGAGAGGTTGGCTCCCTGTGTATGGCCAATGGCACAGTTCCCCTGATGTAGGATGAACAGAGACGGTCTAAAAAGATTCCTGTGTAAACAGAGCTCAAACCTGGCCCAAGCTCTTGGAACAAACCTGCCTTGGTTTGTTAGGTGCATGACTTAGTGGGTGCTTCTGAAGCTTGCAGGAGTGTCCCAGGTCCAGAGGTGAAGGCAGAGGTGAAGGGACTGCAGCAGCAAAGGTGCAGAGTGAAGGCATCTCCAGACCTCACATTTGCAGGTTGGAGCCTGCTGGGGGAGGATGAGACCACAGAACATACTCAGGTCAGGAGAGGAGGGGGAAAGAACAGAAGCAGTGCTTGATTGTTATGTGGTGAATGAAAATTGTGACTTACGGGCAAATATGTTATACCCATGATCCCTTCTTTCTGCCAGACTTGGATTTTCTAAGGCGTCTGCTTTCTGTGTTCTCAATTTGGGAGGAGAAAGCTGTGCTTTTGGTAATTGTGACTCAGCAGAGTTGTGATATCCTTCAAAAACAGAAACTAAAGCAATAAATACCTCAGCAATGAGCAAGTCCTTTAAACAGTTACTTTAAAAGGTATGAGAATGCTATATTGAAAGACACCACGTACTTTTTTTTCCCCCTCGCTTTATTATTATTTGAATCATCATAAGCCCTAAAGGTCACTACCAAGATTAACATTCAACATCACCAAACCGTACTGAAGCCAAGACCCTATTCAAGACAGGGTCAAAATGTCAAGTAATGAGAATAGAAAAAGGACCTGCAGGAAAAAGGGGCTGTGATTGTCTGAGGGTTACAACGTGAGCGAGCAGCAGACCGAGGAAGAGACCCGGCGTCCTGCAGCTGAGAGCTGTGGTTTTTCTTCCAGATTGCACAGCCTCTCTGTTATCTTTTCAGATCAGTTTCGTTGCCCTTTAGCTATTGTCACCCTCAGACCCAACACCATTTCTGACTGCGCTGGCCTTGTGCCAGAAGAAAGCGCTCTTTAGTTATTAGCATCAGAGGAATTTCTGAGGATGCAGTGCTTTAGTTTAGCACTCCTGAATTTCAAGTCCTTCTTTAGCAGGGCCTTGGTTGGGGTGTGCCACTTTGGACCAGCTCCCTCCTCATTTTGATGTGGCTAATCACAGCTGGAATGACTCATGCTCATACGTGCAAGCAGGGCTGGGAACCATCGGATCTCCCTCTGAATTTCTAGAACTCCTTGTTCCTGCTTGTTCCAACAATAACAAAGGAAAAGGCCTTTCTTTGGTGGCATTTTGGCTTTCTGCTGCAGTGAATCATGGAGAGGTATGTAATAACGAGAGGAAACTTTTCAAAACTCATTGGCACTGGAAGGAGGCAAGTGTTTATTTTAACCCAGCTTGCTTACATTTTCCCCTCTCTTTTACAATTCCATTTGTAAAACATAATGTAAATTACTGACATAGTCTTAAATGTGCAAAGAGGACGAGCTTTTAGAAACTGCATTGGATATTCAATTCTACATCTACTAAAATGCAAAATACTAAACCAGATTCCAGTATTCAGGCACTGTCTGAAGGACAAAGGATGTTAAAAACATTACAAATGAGCTAGCTTAATTTTTCAGTTTGTGATGGATTAGCTTTAACATGCATTTTAATTTGTAGTTGGATTTTATCAGCTGTAGACAAAGTTTGATAATCTCTTCTTGTTTAATTAACACAATCCTCTTAGGAGAGAGAAATGCACAGACAATAATAATTCTGTACATTTTATGACAATTTCACACTGACAACCTGAAATATCTTTCTTTAAGACATACCTATGTGAGATTCTTTCAGAAATCTTTGCCTTCTCTGCTCGTAGTGGATGTCTGTGAATATGAGGGAAAAGAGAGAGGGAGCTCACGTTATAAAGTGTTGCCTCTGCGTAAAGAGCCAAGAGAATGTGTAAACAGACTGCATAAATAGCAGCCGGTTCCTTAGAAACCAGCAGGCACACCCTTAGAGACTCAGCTCTGTTACGCTCTTAAAACATGAAGCAACTCATCCCCAGTGAGGCTTTACTCTGCCTTTTCCCCATCATCATGCCATGGATGAGATCTGAATTCATCCCTTATTTCCCTCAGCGTTGGCTGTCTCTGCGCAGGGGCTCACTTTTTGCTGCTGGTGCAAAGGGAAGAAACTTCCTTGCCTTCGTGAAAGTTCCAGCCACTAGCTCCATCCTTTCTGCATTGCCTACACAGGCATGAGTTTATGATTGGACTTGATGATCTTATTGGTCTTTCCAACCTTAATGATTCTGTGATTCTATGACTGATTCTCTGCACTGATGTGCTGGGGGAGATGAGTCACCTCCAGACCAGGAGCACCCAAAAGATACATTTTGGTGCAAGAACAGCATTGTTTCAAAGTTGAATATCAGCAAATCAGCTTTAGCATCTGGAAACACAGGCCATGTGTCGTGTACACACACACGTGTTCAGCCATAGAAACCTGACATAAATATTTCAGTGCGTATTTTACACTGCAAGGTTTTTTAGGTCAGGCTTTAAGAGGATTGAATATATTTTTTCCCACTTGTGTTTTCCTTTGACTCTGCTTTTAGAAATCAAAATCTTCCTCTTTGATTCCTTCAAGCCCTAATGGCAAGTTAATGTTGTTGTGATAACTTGGGCTGTGCCTTTGGATCACATCAGAGTACACTTTTATTGCTGCTCCATCCCCAGCCCCAGGAGGCTGCTCTCTCTTGGGCTATTGTCCATCCTGCCCTGCAGTTTCCAGGCTGGAGAGCTCTGCTCAGGAGAGGGGTCATTCTGGGCCATGGCTTCAGTTTGCTTATACTGATCTCTTGGTGGAGTAACTGTGCTCTGACATTTGTGCTGGTTTATGTCCTCTGCAATCAAATCTTGATTAAAACTCATATTTATTGGGTTCCATCTGAGTCTTCCTCAATTTATGACAAATCCTTGATAAACCAGCACTGAATGAATTGAACCATGCTTTCACCTGGCTCGCAGTCTGCCCTAATCAGGAGCAATCTCCTTGATTTGACCCTCTCTGAATGTCGTATTTTGATCATGAAAATCCCAAAGCCTCCTTAAAAAGTTTCAGTGTTCCGCCACATTCGAATATTCAAGATTGCAAGTGATGCAAAGCAGGAGGGCTGCTCGGTGCTGATGTGTTCCCTGCAGGGAGCTGGGCTCTTAATGGGGTGTAGAACGGCTGCTGGACTGGGAAGAGGCGTGGGGGCATCCAGCCATAGAGCTGCCTCCATCCTCTGCCACGAAGCTGAATGTCCTTGTGAGTGCAGTGCTGGAAATACTGCAAGGAATGCTCTTGATTAATTAGCTGTTAAAGCCTGGTTCCTCGATATTGTCTGATTCACACTGATGCCTCTGCCTTCTGTTCTCCAGAATTTTACCTTTGAAGTAACTTATTTGAAAAGTCATACTCTGCGTGCTGAGGCTCGGTGGACTGGGATCGCACTTCTTCACTTCCTCACGTCTCCTGATTATTCTTCTCTGGATCAAAATATGCATATATTGTTGCATGCCTTTGCTTAATCTCAGCAGGAAACTTCACTTTAAAGCACCTTCAGGTAATTACCACCCAGCCCTTCCAACGGCAGCGTTTCTGACATGGGACACGGCTTCCTGCATGTCAATATCCAGATCAAACAGCACTGAGGTATTGTTTCATCTTCTGGCGATGCTTGCGCTACTCCTGCATCAGGACAATGCCTGAAGAATGAGCTCTCCCTGTGTTTGGAGACCCCAGAGCAGGATTTATCACTCGGAGCAGTGATTTATCACTGTCCACAGGGGATAAGGAGCCAAGGGAGGGTTCTCCCTGTAGGGTTCCCAAAGAAGGGCTGGAGCCCAGGATGGAGCTTTACAGATAATAGCAAGTGTCCTCACTTTTATTTAGGGTAGAACAGTTTATTCATCTCCTGTATATACTGAGCAAGAGTTTATTCCCTGTCTTTATTCCTCTGTATTCCACTGCTTTCCTGCTTTGTGCAGTAATGATGTGTTAAGGCTCCCTGAGCTGTTTTTAGGCAGATCTTGCTGTTGGTTTACCTGTTTTACTGCTGGCTGTGGTTGACAAAAGGAGTTAAGGGCTTCATTTGTAGAAGTGCTGTGATCCTGTGTGCAAGCTAGATAGAAAACCCGAGAATTCTGCTCACAGTGAATCACATCCTGCCTTTTCCCATCAGCAAATATTATTACCATTATTATTATTATTAATTAAATGTTAGGACTATCAAGCAGTGATTTGCAGTGCAAGCATTAGGAGGCACAACTGAGCTCAGCTGACTTGATCCAGCAGAGGCAATGTGTGCATGCTAATGATTTCATTTCCTTATTTGTGTCCTGATATGCTTTGAAAGATAGATTAATGTTCTTTTATCTGATATCTGATGAATACCTTACATCCTCCATTAGGAACTCACCCTCTTCCCAAAACTATTGCACACATCAGTCACTAGGAACGGTTAGAAATATGCTGGTTAGAAATGTGCTGGTGCAGGGAACTGTAGTCTTCAGAGCTACGGATTATTTGATAATAGGAATTCTTTCCTTTTCACGCCTATGTGTGCAGCTACAACACTGTTTATATTCAGCTGATGAGCTTCAGTTGAAATATTTCTGGTATAAGTAAGAATTCACAGAAAAGTAGTTGCACATCTTGTGTTTTTTTTTATCAGCACTTATATAGGAGGCTGTGTCTTTTACTAGTGTAAATAAACGGAATGATTGATGCTCCCTTGACATTTAGGGGCTGTCTTAAATGCAGTGCTAACATTTTCTCAACACAGCAACTTTTCTGAGAGGCATTTTATTTTGCACAACAAAAACAGGTTTTCTGCCTTGCCTTGCACACCCTCCCATCTCCATGGGCACTGTAACAGCCTTCCCCAGGAGGAACAGCCAACAGCAGCAGCTGCAGCTTTCAGAGCTGTGATAGAAAACCCAGTCTACACCATTCATAATAAAGATTTCTCTTTTTCTAGATGGTAAAATGTAAGAAACCACCACGTGGGGACAGCTGTGGGGTCCGTCCCATCCATTACCTGCTCCAGCAGCAGCCAGCACCAGGTGATGCTGTGAGCCCTCCAGATGTGTACCACTGTAGCACATCTCCAAGGAGCTGTTCTTCCTCATCATCCTCATGGTCTGATAGCAGTTACTGGTTTGTCAGAGGCAAACCACTGAGCTTTGCCCTGTGCTGTGGTTCCCTGTGCAGAAATGCAGGAGTAAGGGTTGCAAGCAGGTTGGCCCTCATGTTGACCACTAAATGCTGGGCTGCTTTACATGTCCTGATATGCCACTGGGTTGCCAAGTCACAGACATTGCCAAGATTAATGCAGGATGCATGCTTTTAGCAGCAAAGTCTTGCCCTACCTGTCTTTGCTTTCACATCCACACTCAGAAAATGAAGATAAGAATCCTCAATTCCCTCTGGACAGAACAGTGAGAGGTGTTTATGTGTCAAGCCCGGGGAACACAGAATTGTAAATATTTATTATAATGTTGCTAGGGAGGAAGAAAACAAACTGGAGGTGGTGACAGGAGGAAAGTGCTGCTTCAAGTCCACCTAATGAATGCCAAAGTCCAGGTCACTGTCAGCCTCTGCTGCTCCATGGCAAATACTATTGCTCCTTTATTTTGCGTTACAGTAAGCTGAGGTTTGCAAGCACAGAGCAAGAGGTGGTCCAGGCCTGAAAGAGCTTTCTGTGCACCTGAGCAAGAGATGAAAAGCCAAGGAGAATGAGGTGACAGATGAGATGGTACAAGGGCAAAGCCCAGTCTCCTGCACCCCTGTCCATGTTCCATAGGAGCAAGCTCTTCCTCCAGCAAAACATTGCACAAGGGAGATGATGGCTGAGACACACTGTCTAGGAATGTCCTTCTAAATGTTTTGTTGATGACGGTGCATCAAATGGCCAACTCTATCCAACGGGGTGTAGCAAAGCTCTATGGCAATGCTTGTATTTTTCTAAGGATTTTTTCTTGGATTTCTGCTGTGAATGCAGCCCAACAGTCCCCACATAGCCATGTGCTGTGGGAATGTCCTCCCAGGGCCTCCCAGTCCCAGATCCCAGGAATGGGATCTGCCATAGATACTGCTGTGCTGCTGCTGGGAATGCCAAACCATCCCAGCCAGAGCTCTTCAGTGCCAAGGAGGGTTTGCATGGAGGTTTTAAATGGCACTATATCCAATACATTTTCAAATTAAGTATAAATTAAAAAAAAAAAAAAAAAAAAAGTCAGAGCAGGATGATATAAGTGGCCAGTAGTCTACTTCCAGTTTTAGAGTGCA